TGGCCTTGTTGCCAGCAAACAAGGTCGGTGTAGAGCGAGGCCGCTCACCAAGGTCGGCGAGCAAGAAAGTCAACCAGCCAAGCTCCTGCGCAGCCATGGCACCAGCGTAGATCTCTGCCTCTGCACTGGACGAAGCCACAGACGATGACCGAGTAGACCTCCACGACACAACTCCAATGCCCAAGCTGAAGCAGTACCCCTGAGTGGACCTCTGTGTCTCCACGTCGTCGGCGTAGGAAAAATCGCAGTGACCAGTCAGCATAACTGGCCGTCTCCCTCCAAGCACAAGCCCCATGCCTGATGTAGTCGCCAGGTACTTCGCAACCCTCTCAGCAGATGTTCGGTGAACAGGATGGTGTCTCCCAGTCGCAACAAAGCGAGAGAGGACGCTGAGAGGGAAGGCGAGGTCCGGAAGAGTACAAATCATCAGGTACATGAGGCAGCCCACAAGCTCTACGTATGGACCACTAGACTCAAAGGGCTAGTCGGGAAAAGGGCCAGTGAGTCTGTGGTCAACGGCAAGAGGAGTGCGCTGTGTGGTGGAGTGCTGAAGCTCGAACCGCTGAAGGACCTGCTGCACCATGTGTGACTATGAGAGTGTAATGGTGCGAGCGGCTCTGTCCCTGGTGTATACCAAGGTAAGGCAAGCATAGGTAGGAAAGGCATAGGATGGGGAAACATGGTAGCATTAATGTGTGGGCATGAAATGCAAAGGGGCATGCGATGGCAGAGGAGAAACGGCTGCAGCAACAATGCAGGAATAGGAGCATGCAGCACCTGCAGAGGTGCATAGGGGCATGGTGTGGTAGAATGGTAGGCGGTAGCAGCAACGTGTTGGCAGAATGGAAATGGATGTGTAGAGGAACCCTGTATGGCAGAAGTGGTCAGGGTTCCGAAACGGATGGGAGCAGTACTTGCGGCATGGTGCTGGAGGTGCGGGTCCATGAAAATGTAGTGAGGGTATTGTAGTGTAGCTGCAATAGAGTTGTGCTGTAGTGTTTTGCTGTATCTGTAGGTACTCTGAACTGCCGATTTTGCAATAAAATGAAAAAAAAAAAAAAAAAAAAAAAACTCTAGACTGAGTCTACTGAGTCTACTGAGGCACTGCACACCTACAGACTCAGTGGAGGAGAGGGTGGTGCAACGGATCCTCTGGCTCGCCCAGGAGACAGCAGCGCCTCCGAGCACGAAGACATAGCCACCAGTGCTGGTCCTGTTCTGCTTGTCCCCTGCATCATGAGCATCGGCATAGCACACCAGCTCCAAGGACTCCGGCCCACCACCAAGCTCCAGCGCCACATCCCTGCTCCCCACCAAGTACGCCAAGCACCGGTCCAACTCCTTCCAGTGCTGATCAGTCAGCACAGTCTGGCCCGACCCCAACTTGCTGCAGGCGAACGAGATGTCGGGACGGGTGGTACAGGCCGCGAACTGCAAGGATCCCACCTTCTGCCTGTACTCCTCCTGTCGTGACTGCCATCCCACATCCTCGAAGGTCTGCACACTGAAAGGGTCAGAGGGGTGCGAGGCACTCGCAGCGGCTGCTCCCCATCGAAGAAGCGCCTATGGACCTTGTCCACATAGGCCCCCTGGTGCAGCCACAGCCTCCTCGTAGGCCTGTCCCGAATCAGCTGCAACCCCAGATACTTCTCCACAGGGATAATATCCCGCAGCTGAAAGGCACTCTGCAGCAGCTCACGCAGCTCCCCCAGCATGCTCTGACTGCGGCTGGCAGCAAGCAAGTCATCCACATACACCAGCAGCCAGCACATCTCCCCCACAACATCACTCTGGAAGTACAGAGCCTCATCCACTTGGCTCTTCTTCCATCCAGCCCCAAGCAGCACCCCATCCAAGGCCTCATACCATAGCATCGGGCTCTGCTTGAGCCCATACAGACTCTTCACCAACTTACAGACATGAGGAGTCCCATCCTCGTAGTAGCTCGGCTGCTCCATGTAAAGGTCTCGGTCTAGCACGCCATGGAGGAACGCGTTCTTCACATCCAACTGCATCAGGTCCAAATCGAGTGCAGCTGCGATCGCCAGAAGCACACGCGCCGTCACATAGCTTCCCACAGGGGCGTACGTCTCCTCATAGTCCACCCCTGCCACCTGTGTGAACCCCTTCACTACCAGCCTCGCCTTCTCACGCTCCACTATCCCATCCGGTCGGAACTTGGTGTTCAAAATCCAGCGGTTCTTCATCACATTCACCCCTGGCGGACGCGGAACCAACTCCCACGTCCCCTGCTCAATCAAGCTCCGCATCTCCTCATCCATCGCCTCCTTCACCTTGTCGCCCTTCCAGCAGCCCAAGGCCTCCTAGGTGGGTGCATGGCTCTGTATGGCGTGCGCCTAAAGGCGCGGAGCAGTGGCGATTTGATACATTCCACTCACTGCACCCCTCACCACCACCGTGCCTCCCCTCACCACCATCCCACCACACCACCAGGTACCTCCAGGACAGGGGGAGTGCCTCGCCTCCCCTCACCACCACCACCACCCACCACCAGGTACCTCCAGGACAAGGGGAGTGCCTCGCCTCCCCTCACCACCACCACCACCCACCACCAGGTACCTCCAGGACAGGGGGAGTGCCTCGCCTCCCCTCACCACCACCACCACCCGCCACCAGGTACCTCCAGGACAGGGGGAGTGCCTCGGCTCCCCTCACCACCACCACCACCCACCACCAGGTACCTCCAGGACAGGGGGAGTGCCTCGCCTCCCCTCACCACCACCACCATCCACCTCCAGGTACCTCCAGGAGGAGTACCTCGTGCGCCACAAGGCACTGAGCTAAGGAGACTTGATACATTCTACTCATTGCACCTCTCACCACCGTCCCCCACCACCACCCACCTCCAGGTACCTCCAAGAGGAGTACCTCGTGCGCCACAAGGTGCCCCGCACGCCTGTACTCAGGCAAGCCTTCCTCCGCCTGCCTGTGTTTCGCCCCAAGGTAAAGCCAAGCCAAGAGACTTGTTATCGCACCCGTACCTCGAGTATTCGCCACACAGCTCGAGTATTTTCCACACAGCTCGAGTATTCGCCACACAGCTCGAGTATTCGCCACACAGCTCGAGTATTCGTCACACAGCTCGAGTATTCGCCACACAGCTCAAGTATTCGCCACACAGCTCGAGTATTCGCCACACAGCTCGAATATTCGCCACACAGCTCGAGTATTCGCCACACAGCCCGAGTATTCGCCACACTGCTCGAGTATTCACCACACAGCTCGAGTATTCGCCACACAGCCCGAATATTCGCCACACAGCTTGAGTATTCGCCACACAGCTCGAGTATTCGCCACACAGCCCGAATATTCGCCACACAGCTCGAGTATTCGCCACACAGCTCGAGTATTCGCCACACAGCTCGAGTATTCGCCACACAGCTCGAGTATTCGCCACACAGCCCGAATATTCGCCACACAGCTCGAGTATTCGCCAAACAGCTCGAGTATTCGCCACACACCCCGAATATTCGCCACACAGCTCGAGTATTCGCCACACAGCTCGAGTATTCGCCACACAGCTCGAATATTCGCCACACAACTCGAGTATTCGCCACACAGCTCGAGTATTCGCCCCTCAGCTCGATAATTCGCCACACTGCTCGCATATTCGCCTCTCAGCTCGAGTATTCGCCTCTCAGCTCGAGTATTCGCCTATCAGCTCGAGTATTCGCCTCTCAGCTCGAGTATTCGCCTCTCAGATCGAGTATTCGCCTCTCAGCTCGAGTATTCGCCTCTCAGCTCGAGTATTCGCCTCTCAGCTCGAGTATTCGCCTCTCAGCTTAAGTATTCGCCTCTCAGCTGAACTGCAGTTTGGTTCTGTCAAACCAGTTTGAGTATACTGTATGGAACCGAAAGGCTTTTGTTGCCAAAACAGTTTTACTTCAGCATGTAGTGGTTCTACCCGAACCTTGAAAATATAACCCAAACGGGTTTGTAGTTCGCTCATGTCTATCAATCGTTCTGTGTGTGTTTCCATTCGGAGGTGCCCCAGCAGCCGAATCTGAGTGACTGGGGGGTGTTTCTGCTGCTGTACGCGCAGGAGCTGCTCTCTCACATGCTGCTCGCCGTCTTTGTTAATTTCCCTTCCATCCCCCATCCCATGCGCAGGTGCCCAAACAGCCGAATCTAAGTGACTGCGGGGTGTTTCTGCTGCTGTACGCGCAGGAGCTGCTCTCCCACATGCCGCTCGCCGTCTTTGTTAATTTCCCTTCCATCCCCCATCCCACACGCAGGTGCCCAAACAGCCGAATCTAAGTGACTGCGGGGTGTTTCTGCTGCTGTACGCGCAGGAGCTGCTCTCCCACATGCCGCTCGCCGTCTTTGTTAATTTCCCTTCCATCCCCCATCCCATGCGCAGGTGCCCAAACAGCCGAATCTAAGTGACTGCGGAGTGTTTCTGCTGCTGTACGCACAGGAGCTGCTCTCTCATATGCCGCTCACCGTCTACCGCACCGCTGCCTGCGACCACTGCAAGCAAGTGGTGAGTGCGCCTGCCTGTGCGCTTGCTTCTTCCTGCTTGCTGCCGCGTGCATAAAGAGTATCTTTGAGACGTCTTAAGTATGCCTGCGACCAGTGCAAGCAAGTGGTGACTGCAGGTAAGTATGCGGCGAGCAGGTAAGCATGTGGCGAGCAGGTGAGCATGCGGCGAGCAGGTGAGCATGCGGCGAGCAGGTGAGCATGCGGCGAGCAGGTGAGCATGTGGCGAGCAGGTAAGCATGCGGCGAGCAGGTAACCATGTGGCGAGCAGGTAAGCATGTGGCGAGCAGGTGAGCATGCGGCGAGCAGGTAAGCATGTGGCGAGCAGGCGAGCATGCGGCGAGCAGGTGAGCATGCAGCGAGCAGGTAAGCATGCGGCGAGCAGGTAAGCATGTGGCGAGCAGGTAAGCATGTGGCAAGCAGGTAAGCATGCGGCGAGCAGGTAACCATGTGGCGAGCACGTAAGCATGCGGCGAGTAGGTAAGCATGCGGTGAGAAGGTCAGCATGCGCCGAGCATGTCAGCATGCGCCGAGCAGGTAAGCATGCGGCGAGCAGGTGAGCATGTGGCGAGCAGGTGAGCATGCGGCGAGCAGGTAAGCATGTGGCGAGCAGGTGAGCATGCGGTGAGCAGGTCAGCATGGGCCGAGCAGGTAAGCATGCGGCGAGCAGGTGAGCATGTGGCGAGCGGGTAAGCATGTGGCGAGCAGGTAAGCATGCGGCGAGCAGGTAAGCATGTGGCGAGCAGGTAAGCATGTGGCGAGCAGGTAAGCATGCGGTGAGCAGGTGAGCATGCGGTGAGCAGGTCAGCATGCGCCGAGCAGGTAAGCATGCGGCGAGCAGGTAAGCATGTGGACAATAGGCGAGCATGCGGTAAGCAGGTCAGCATGCGCCGAGCAGGTAAGCATGCGGCGAGCAGGTAAGCATGTGGCGGGCAGGTAAGCATGCGGCGAGCAGGTAAGCATGTGGCGAGCAGGTAAGCATGTGGCGAGCAGGCGAGCATGCGGCGAGCAGGTGAGCATGCGGCGAGCAGGTGAGCATGTGGTGAGCACGTGAGCATGCGGCGAGCAGGTGAGCATGCGGCGAGCAGGTGAGCATGTGGCGAGCAGGTAAGCATGCGGCGAGCAGGTAACCATGTGGCGAGCAGGTAAGCATGTGGCGAGCAGGTGAGCATGCGGCGAGCAGGTAAGCATGTGGCGAGCAGGCAAGCATGCGGCGAGCAGGTGAGCATGCGGCGAGCAGGTAAGCATGCGGCGAGCACGTAAGCATGTGGCGAGCAGGTAAGCATGTGGCGAGCAGGTAAGCATGCGGCGAGCAGGTAACCATGTGGCGAGCAGGTAAGCATGCGGCGAGCAGGTAAGCATGCGGTGAGCAGGTAAGCATGCGGCGAGCAGGTAAGCATGTAGCGAGCAGGTAAGCATGCGGCGAGCAGGTGGGCATGCGGCGAGCAGGTAAGCATGTGGCGAGCAGGTGAGCATGCGGTGAGCAGGTCAGCATGCGCCGAGCAGGTAAGCATGCGGCGAGCAGGTGAGCATGTGGCGAGCAGGTAAGCATGTGGCGAGCAGGTAAGCATGCGGCGAGCAGGTAAGAATGTGGCGAGCAGGTAAGCATGTGGCGAGCAGGTAAGCATGCGGTGAGCAGGTGAGCATGCGTTGAGCAGGTCAGCATGCGCCGAGTAGGTAAGCATGCTGCGAGCATGTAAGCATGTGGCGAGGAGGTAAGCATGCGGCGAGCAGGTAAGCATGTGGCGAGCAGGTGAGCATGCGGTGAGCAGGTCAGCATGCGCCGAGCAGGTAAGCATGCGGCGAGCAGGTAAGCATGTGGCGGGCAGGTAAGCATACGGCGAGCAGGTAAGCATGTGGCGAGCAGGTAAGCATGTGGCGAGCAGGCGAGCATGCGGCAAGCAGGTGAGCATGCGGCGAGCAGGTGAGCATGGGGCGAGCAGGTGAGCATGCGGTGAGTAGGTAAGCATGTGGCGAGCAGGTAAGCATGCGGCGAGCAGGTAAGCATGCGGCGAGCAGGTAAGCATGCGGCGAGCAGGTGAGCATGTGGCGAGCAGGTGAGCATGCGGCGAGCAGGTAAGCATGTGGCGAGCAGGTGAGCATGCGGCGAGCAGGTGAGCATGCTGCGAGCAGGTAAGCATGCGGCGAGCAGGTAAGCATGTGGCGAGCAGGTAAGCATGTGGCGAGCAGGTAAGCATGTGGCGAGCAGGTAAGCATGTGGCGAGCAGGTAAGCATGCGGCACCTGACTCATCCACGCCCATGCGGGCTGCCATCCACCGCACCGTGCTGCTGCGGCTGCTGTTTCACATTGTGCCCCATCGTTTACTCTCTTTCTTTCTCTCTCCCCTGCTCCCCTTCCCTCCCCTCCCCCCAGCTGTCCTTCCCCTTGCTGACGCCTGACTCAGCCAAGCCTATGCGGGCTGCCATTCAGCGCACCGTGCTGCTGCGAGCTGGGCTGGCAGATCTGGTGGCTCAGGAACCCCAGTGTGAGGAGGCTGTGGTGGGACAGGAGAAGGAGGGGGAGAGGGAGAAGGCTCCCGAGGCACCCCAAAAGCGTGCCGCCATCCAGCGCACATTGTTGCTGCGAGCCGGACTGGCAGATCTGGTGGCGCGCGTACTGCAAAGGGGTGAGGAGGCCGTGACGGCACGGGAACCCCAGCACGAGGAGGCCATGGTGGGACAGGAGAAGGAGGGGGATAGGGAGGGGGATTTTGAGGCGCCTCAAAAGGGGGCCGCCATTCACCCGAGACTGCTGCTGCGAGCCGGGCTGACAGATCTGGTGGCGCGGGAACCCCAACAGCGCGAGGAGCCCGTGACGGCGCTGGAACACCTGCGCGAGGAGGCTGTGGTGGGACAGGAGAAGGAGGGCGAGAGAGAGGGGGCTTTTGAGGCGCCTCAGAAGCGGGCCGCCATCCACCGCACACTGCTGCAACGATCCGGGCTGGCAAATCTGGTGGCGCGCGCAGCCCAGCGCGAGGAGGCCGTGACGGCAGGGGAACCCCAGCACGAGAAGGATCTGGTGGCGCGCGCACCCCAACAGCCCAAGGAGGCTGTGACGGCGCAGGAACACCACCACGAGGAGGCTGTGGTGGGGAGGGAGAAGGAGGGGGAGAGGGAGGGGGCTTTTGAGGCGCCTCAAAAGCGGGCTGCCATCCACCGCACACTGCTGCTGCGAGCCGGGCTGGCAGATCTGGTGGCGCGGGAACCCCAACAGCGCGAGGTGGCCGTGACGGCGCGGGAACACCAGCACGAGGAGGCCGTGGTGGGAAAGGAGGAGGGGGGCGAGAGGGAGGGGGCGTTTGAGGTGCCTCAAAAGTGGGCCGCCATCCACCACAGACTGCTTCTGCGAGCTAGGATGGCAGATCTGATGGCTCGCACAGCCCAGCGCGAGGAGGACATGGTGGGACAGGAGAAGGAGAAGGAGGGGGTGAGGGAGAGGCAAAGGGATGGAGGGGAGAAGGAGAAGGAGAGGGAGAGAGAGGGGGCTTTTGAGCCGCCTCAGAAGCGGGCGGCCATCCACCCCGCACTGCTGCTGCGAGCTAGGATGGCAGATCTGATGGCTCGCGCAGCCCAGCACTAGGAGGGCGTGGTGGGACAGGAGGAGGGGGAGAGGGAGGGGTTGAGAGAGAGGCAAAGGGATGGAGGGGAGAAGGAGAAGGAGAGGGAGAGGGAAGGGAGGGAGGAGGAGCGGAGGGGATGTGGGGTGGGGCGAGAGGGAGGGATGGTAGGGCCGTTGGCGAGGGAGATACAGAGTGTGGAGGGAGAAAGGGGGAGAGGGGAGGGTGGGGATGGGAGTTTGGCTAGACAGGAAGAGGGACAGAGAAAGGGAACACACGATCAGGATCAGGCGCTACAGCGGGAGCAGCAGCAGGAGCAGAATCGACGCGTGACTCAAAGTCGCAGTTTGCATGCAATCGTGTCGAGCCAAGAGGGAGGCCCAACGGTCATTGTGCTGCGTCATGCTGGTGGGGGGGTGGCACCGAAGGAGAGCAGGGGTGGTGGGAAGAGAGAGAGGCGCTTAAAAGAGGTGCTAGCTGGTGGGAAGGAGGAGGAGGGGGAGGAGGGGGATGTGGTGGAGGTGACAGCTGTGGGGAAGAGGAGGCGGGTGGGATTGGCGGGGAGTGGCACACGGGGGTGGGCGGATGGTAGTGGGGAAGACAAGAAGGAAGGACAGAGAGGACAGGTTTCTCGGAGCTGGTTGTCGAATGAGGTTGATATGGCGGAGGCGAGACGACGGCAGGGAGGAGAGGAAGTGAAGGAGGATGGGCGTATGAAAGAGGTGGGGTTGGGGGATGGTGAGCATTTGCGGGTGCCAAGGGGATGCGGAAGAGAAGAAGAGATGGGGGATGAGGGAGGACTGCAAGAGACAGGCGAGGCGCAGGGAGAAAGCGGCGGATGTAAGGAGTCGTCTGGGGTTCGAGTTGATGCAGGGCATGAGGTGGCATGTGGAGAGCATGAGCTGGCATGTGAAGGGCATGTGTTGATGAGTGATTCACCCGATGGTGATGATGACGCTGCTGCTGCTCCTACTGCTCTTACTCCTCCTCCGCCTCCTCCTGTTGCCGGTGCTTCGGTTGCTACTGCTGCTGCTGCTGCTGACCATGACATTGATGGTAATGGCGCTGCTGCTAACAAGGCATGTGGTGGCACCGGTTTTATTGCTTACAATTGGCGTCGTGGGCAGGGGAATGAACACGCTGCTGTAGCAAGGAAGCTTGGTGAGGGTGGGAAGGCATGTGGTGGTGGTGGTATGGCTACTACTGCTGCGGCTGCTAGTGACGATGACAATGATGGTGATGGCCATGCTGCTAGGATGGCGTGTGGTGGCACCGGTGTTGTTACTTACAAGCGGCGCGGTCGGCTGGGGGGCAAACACGCTGCTGCCAGCAACGGTCGTGTTGCTGGAGCTAGCAAGCATGGTCCGGGTGGCAAGGCATGTGGCATGAGAGACGGGACGAGAGAAGGGACAAGTGGTAGGAGGAGAGAAGGAAAACGGTTGAAGACTGATCAGGTGGAACATCAAGCAGGAAGGGAGGAAGTGGAACCAGAGGAGCAGAAGCAAGGGGAAGAGGAGAGAGAATGAGGGAAACGAGAGAAAAGAAACGAGGGTGTAGCATGTGCAATTTGCGGTAGTGACCCACTGCTGGCACAGGGGGGTGAAGCTGATACGTGCGACGGGGGCAATGGGGGAGAGGGAGGGGAAGAGGATGATGGGGAAAGTGAGGGCGGGCAGGGGGTTGGGGGGGTGTGTGGGAGCAGTGAGGCTGGCAAGTTGGCTGATGCGGCTATAGTTTGCATCAGCGACTCTCCTGTGGAGCGGGCGGAGGAGGAGGAGGAGGAGGGGAAGGAGGAGGAGCAGGAGGCAAGTAGAGATGCCTCTATACAGGTCGGAGATCGAAGCCTCGTGGCGCAGCACGTGCCATGCGCAGTGGGAGTCGCAATAGCGGGGGTGCGTGAGGGAGTCAGTCTGTAGGTGAGTCTAGATTGTGTCGAATGGAAAGCCATTCTGGAAAGGAGGGGCAAAATGGAGATTCGTAGAATGTTTTTAACGGTGCACGAATGAACGGTGCTTGAGAAAACAGAATAGATGGATGAATACATTCGCACTAATTTCAATCTATCCCTCACATGTGCTTCAAGAAAATAAGCCATTCCGGCAAGGCTTCCTGCAGGCCGGATCGCCAACCACGATGGGCCATCGTGTATGTGTGCTCCGTGCGAACCCCCAGGCACGAGGCTAGTGCCAGTGAAGAGCGCGAGAGAGGAGGAGCAGGAGAAGGGAAATCAGGAGGGGAAGGAGGAGCAGGAGAAGGGAAAGGAGGAGGGGAAGGAGGAGGAGCATGAGGAAGAGGAGGAGGGGAAGGAGGAGGAGGAGTAGTAGGAAGAGGAAGAGGGGAAGGAGCAAGAGGAAGAGGAGGGAAGGAGCAAGAGGAAGAGGAGGAGGGGAAGGAGCAGGAGGAGGAGGAGGAGCAGGAGGAGAAAGAGGGGAAGGAGGGGTGACCTGGACTTGCGCAGTGGCTTGGACTCTGCCACTGGGCTGCTGTCCTCGCTGCAGAAAGGGGTTGCGAGCACACCCACCCACACACCCACCCACACACCCAGTAGAGGGAGGGGAAGGAGAGGTAGGAGGAAGGAAATGAGGAGGGGAAGGAGGAGGGAAAGGCAGAGGGGAAGGAGGAGCGGAGGGGGGAGCGGAAGGGGGTCGGTGGTAGGGACTGGCAGGGTGCGAGGGACATGCGGGGTGATCTGGACTTGCGCAGTGGCTTGGACTCTGCCAGTGGGCTGCTGCCCTCGCTGCAGAAAGGGGTTGCGAGCGCTCCCACGGAGCACCACTTAGTGGTGGGAGACATTACGAGGCTGCGGCTTCTGTAGTTAGCAAAAAAATGTTTAGAACTCTCAGGCGCAAAGGCCTGGTTGTAGAAAAAAATGTTGTGTGAATCAAATGGTGGTAACTAGTTCCGGCGTGAACGCCTTCGTCAGACCACAAGAATGAAATGAGCCCCCGAGGTTTATATATATACCCCAAGAAGACCCGGCTACCCTAGAGTAACCTGAATCTAAGCTCAAAATGAAATTCTACAGTAAAACTAACTTCAGCACTTACGAGCAGAAACTAAGTAGCTTCCAACTCTCTTAGGCAATTTCCATGCCAGAATCGCCCTCCGTCCTGTAAAAATGTCGCGTGACATTATATCCAGGTGAGTTTTGAGGCGACTCCAATTCCGCAGCTGAAACTCCGTCTTTCGACCATAGATTATCAGCGCGTGCTGGTGCACATAAGCGGCTAGCGTTTCTTGGTTTTTCCGTGGCCGGACCCTCCATTTTTTGGAGTATTCGGCTTCTGCTTCTTGTTCCCATGGTGACGACCAGCATTACGGTTGACATTCTTAGAGAAAGCACGACCCATTGTCTTAGCAGCTGCTCCGAAGTATCATCAGATTTCTTCTTCTGAAGCTGCTTAGGAGTCTGCTTCTTCTCGGAGAAGTTCCTGGACATCGTGGTCGGTTTGTTAGTCTTAATCGAAAAAGATTTCTTAACATGGTTGTTCTTATCCGAACAAGAAGAAGTCTTGGGACGAGGTGTCGAGGTAGGCCGCTTCAGATTTGAGCTCAGCCGCTTAACAACTTTCTCAGCTTCTTGCTTCGCGATCTCTCGAATTGCTGGCTCAACACGCAGATTTTCTTCTTCCATCATCGCATCAGCTTTCCTGTCATCATCTTCCTTCTTCTCCTTAAGGTATGTTTCGGCGACAGCAGCTTCGAGGAAGAACTTGGCCATTGACTCAGTAAAATCTTTGACGATCAGGTCCTTGAAGAAATTCAGCTTGTCAGAAAGGTTTGTTTTCTTAACACCGAGATCCAAATTCTTTGTCAGATTAATCAAACTTGTCAGCTGAATCTGGAGCTTCGGGTATATGCCATAAGCATCACTAAGAGCACGATCGACCGCTTTCTTCTTCACATTAATCATGACGAGTTAAGGGTGCTGACAGTATGCTGTACAGGCTTCCATCAGGTCCTTATCAGCTTCCTGCTTCACTTCTTCGTTGTTGCAGACAAAAGCAAATGGCTTGATGCGAATGTTGAGCGGGATCATACCGTTACTTTTCTGGTCGACCATAGACTGGTGTTGCTGCATCAGCGTACGATACTTCAGAATATGCTTCTTGAAGTCGTTAAAAGCCTGAATCTTGAAAGAGTTAAAGCAAGAAGGTGTCGTTTGCTTTTCCAAAAAGGATTCAGAAACTTCTCCCAAGAAGTCAAAAGGATCCGTCATTTTGATGTCGTTGTCCAAAGTCACCGTCACATTAGCTTTAGGAGCCATTGCAGCAGCAAAACCTCCTTCAACAGGCTTAGGTGCTTCAACACGCTTCGTAACCGGTTGACGAGAAGCCATCATGTGGAATTGGGGTAGAGTAGCAGGAGAGTCTGCAATATGGCAGATCCGCTTCTTGCTAGGCTGAACTGGAGAGGACTCGATAGGATCCTCTGGTTCCGAAATGAGGAGTTGATGTTGTTCCTTGGCGAATGACTGCATTTTTGTAGACTGTCAAGTCGCCTTGGAAATAGTTTCCTTGGGAACAGTTTTCTTCATTGAAATTGTGATATTTGCTTTGAGTTCGAAACCGGCCTTCGTAGTGGTTGGTGTCGTCAGACCCAAGGAGCACCACTTAGTGGTGGGAGACATTACGAGGCTGCGGCTTCTATAGTTAGCAAAACATTTGTTTAGAACTCTCAGGCGCAAAGGCCTGGTTGTAGAAAAACATTATTTTATGAATCAAATGGTGGTAACTAGTTTCGGCGTGAACGCCTTCGTCAGACCACAAGAATAAAATGAGCCCCCGAGGTTTATATGTACACCCTAGGAAGACCCGGCTACCCTACAATAACCTGAATCTAAGCTCAAAATGAAAGTCTACAGTAAAACCAACTTCAGCACTTACGAGCAGAAACTAAATAGCTTCCAACTCTCTTAGGCAATTTCCATGCCAGAATCGCCCTCCATCTCGTAAAATTGGCGCGTGACATTATATCCAGGTGAGTTTTGAGTCGACTCAAAATTCACAAGGAGGAGGGGGAGGAGTGGAGGGGGGAGCGGAAAAGGGTCGGTGGTAGGGACCGGCAGGGTGCGAGGGACATGTGGGGTGATCTGGTCTTGCGCAGTGGCTTGGACTCTGCCACTGGGCTGCTGTCCTCGCTGCAGAAAGGGGTTGCGAGCGCATCCACCCACACACCCACCCACACACCCAGTGGAGCATGGTGCAGAGGAGAGTGCAGAAGAGGGTAGAGGGGGTTGAAGATCGAGGGAGGCGTCAATGGCCACCTGAAGCACCTGAAGCACCTGAAGCACCTCGGGCGCCAGGGGCAACTTAGCCAGCGAAGGTTCCTGAGGGAGCTGAAGAAGTACCTAGGGCATGAGGGGAACCTAGGGGAACAAGATTCGTGAGGAAAGAGAGGCACGAGGGGGAGGATGGGAAGGGCAGCAGAGAGGCAAGGCGTAAAGGAGGAAGGATTGAGGTTCCGAAGGGAGTGGGATGGGCAGGAGGACAAGTAAGGAGGCGGGGTAGAATCCAGGAGGGCGATGAAGACGTGGAAATAGTTGGTGTGGGGATGAGTGGGAGGATGGGTGGGCGCACTGCTGGGAAGGAGGTAGATGAGGATTGCGGTGTGGTGGGCTGCATGGGAAGGAGGGAGGGGACAGGTGCGGAGTTTTCTATGGGGAAGGGGAGGAGGATGAGATGGAAGTGGAGGAATTGGGAAAGGAGGTTGAGGGAGCAAATGGGGCAGGGGGAGGGGTGGAAGGGTAGAGAGCAGGAGAGGGCGGATGTGCGGGCGATAGTGAGGGGGTGCAGCAGAGACAGAAGGGGGCGCCATCTCGCTTGGCAGGGCAGCTTGGGAAGGGAGCGGGATGCATGGGAGCAGGAGAGGGGGGGGTGTGATGTAGGTGTGGTGGATGGGGGGAGTGGAGCGAGCGTGGGGGAGGAATCGGAGGAAGAGGAAGGTGAAATGATTGAGTGTGAGGAAGAGGAGGTTGAAGAAATGGGTTCAGAGGAAGAGGAGGGAGAGGAAAGAGCCCAAGAGGAGGACGAAGCACGATGAGGAGAGGTGGGGACGGGACGAGGGGAAGGAAGAGGAGATCAAGGAGGGGACGGGAGAGCAGGGAGAGGAGGGGAATGGAGAGGAGGGAGGGGGAAGTGCCCAAGAGGAGGAGGACGAAGCAGAGGATGATGAGTAGAGGGGCGATCGGGATGAGTGGAGGGAAAAGGAGGACGAGGAGAAGGGAGTGAAGGAGGAGGAGGGAGAGGAGGGAGAGGAGGAAGAGGAAGGAGAGGAGGACGAGGAGGAGGGAGAGGAGGGAGGGAAGGGAGAGGAGGAATACAAGAGAGGGAAGGGTCTCAAGGGAGGAGGGAGAAGAGGGGGGCTGGGCAGTGGCAAGGAGAGCAAGTGTGTGGTTCAGAGTAGGGCTGACAATGGGAAGGCGAGGGGGGACCGGGGGAAGTAGGGGGTAGGGGGAGAGAGAGTGAGGAAATATATGGTCCAAACAGGAAGGGAGTGGGGCATGTAGGGGAGGGAGATGGGTGACAGTATATTCCCAAAGTAGGTGCTGTGAGAGTGAGGGAGAGGTGCTGTGAGAGCGAGGGAGAGGTGCTGTGAGAGTGAGGGAGAGGTGCTGTGAGAGCGAGGGACAGGTGCTGTGAGAGTGAGGGAGAGGTGCTGTGAGAGTGAGGGAGAGGTGCAGTGAGGTTGAGGGAGAGGTGCTGTGAGATTGAGGGAGAGGTGCAGTGAGGTTGAGGGAGAGGTGCTGTGAGATTGAGGGAGAGGTGTTGTGAGATTGAGGGAGAGGTGCTGTGAGATTGAGGGAGAGGTGATGTGAGATTGAGGGAGTGGTGCTGTGAGACTGAGGGAGAGGTGCTGTGAGATTGAGGGAGAGGTGCTGTGAGATTGAGGGAGAGGAGCTGTGAGATTGAGGGAGAGGAACTGTGAGAGTGCGGGAGAGGTGCTGTGAGATTGAGGGAGAGGTGATGTGAGAGTGAGGGAGAGGTGCTGTGAGATTGAGGGAGAGGTGCTGTGAGAGTGAGGGAGAGGTGCTGTGAGAGTGAGGGAGAGGTGCTGTGAGAGTGAGGGAGAGGTGCTGTGAGAGTGAGGGAGAGGTGCTGTGAGAGTGAGGGAGAGGTGCTGTGAGAGTGAGGGAGAGGTGCTGTGAGAGTGAGGGAGAGGTGCTGTGAGAGTGAGGGAGAGGTGCTGTGAGATTGAGGGAGAGGTGCTGTGAGATTGAGGGAGAGGTGCTGTGAGAGTGAGGGAGAGGTGCTGTGAGATTGAGGGAGAGGTGCTGTGAGATCGAGGGAGAGGTGCTGTGAGAGTGAGGGAGAGGTGCTGTGAGAGTGAGGGAGAGGTGCTGTGAGAGTGAGGGAGAGGTGCTGTGAGAGTGAGGGAGAGGTGCTGTGAGAGTGAGGGAGAGGTGCTGTGAGATTGAGGGAGAGGTGCTGTGAGATTGAGGGAGAGGTGCTGTGAGAGTGAGGGAGAGGTGCTGTGAGATTGAGGGAGAGGTGCTGTGAGATCGAGGGAGAGGTGCTGTGAGATTGAGGGAGTGGTGCTGTGAGATCGAGGGAGAGGTGCTGTGAGATTGAGGGAGAGGTGCTGTGAGATCGAGGGAGAGGTGCTGTGAGATTGAGGGAGAGGTGCTGTGAGATCGAGAAAGAGGTGCCGCCAAAGGATGCGATGACCATGGTGCTGCTGCTTGGCTTGGATGGTGGGGCAAGATGGGAGGTTGAGTGATGGCAAGCAGAGGTGAAGGACCTGAGCTCAGGAGGGACGATTGGGTTTCCGCACAGGTAAATGGCATAAAGGAAGGGGGTGATAGAATGAATATGGGACAGATTTGACACAAGAGAAGACGAGAAGGAGGGGAAGAAGAAGGGGAAGGTAGGTGGGTGGGTGGAGGATGTGTTGACCACCCAGCAGAGTGCTAGCGTTTTTTGCCTCTTCACCCTCTCACGTACCCATCATAATCACTTCATCAATACTGGTTTAGGCGCATGTGCTCTGGTTGGTGTGTAAGCATCCAAAAGGAGGCTTGTGTAACTTGTTGAAGCCCATTCATCCCTGGCCAAACCAGAGCCTCTGTTCGCCCTGTCAGCCCATACCCGCCCAGGCCCAACTCGGCCCAAACGAGCCCGCTTTAGCCATATGGGATAACCTGGATCCAAACTGCAGCAGCGGGCCTGAGGCGGGCCATCAATTCACTCCAAAATCCTCGCGAGCACCCACGCAGCCCAAACCATGCAGGTCTATTTGAGGGCTGGAACAGTGAAGTCGGCGATCAGCTTGACCTTACTGGTTTTGCACGCCCCCCTCACGTTACTTCATGTCAATTGAATGAATTCAAATTGGGCTGAACCATGGCTCGCCAAGAGCCAGCAGGTTCCCAAAAACGTTCCAGTCGGGTCGGTTGGGCTCCAGCAGCCTGACCCAGAGCATGGCTGGCCCGACCCGATTTGACATAGGCTGGTTCAAGGTTGACCCATGCTGATGCCTATGTCATTGACAGGGAAGGGAGCTGGAAGTGGGGAGGTGGGGGTGTTAAGGAGAGTAGGGGGGGCGGAAGGGGAGTTTGGGAGGAACAGAGTGGTGCTGGAAAACGAGATATGGGGTTGGATGCAGGAAAAACAAGAAAAGGGAGAATTGGCTTGGAGAAGAATGAGTGTGATGGTTGCAAAATGAGGGCCATAATGGAATAATTAGTTTTAGCTCAACCAAAACTTCTTGTCAGTCCCAGCCATCCACATGACTCGCTCCTCCCCCCACCCTCGCAGTCCCCCCCCTCCGCTCCCTCCTACTAACCTGAACCCCCCCCCCCCCCCCCCCCCCCCCGCCTCCCCGCCCCCCTGACTCTAACTGTTCCTGTCACTCCCTCTCCCACCCTGCCGTCCTCCTCCACCACAGGCTAGGTCACCCTAACTTCGCTACTCTGCGCTCCTCTGTCTCCTCCTGTCTCCTCCATGGTCTCCCTTCCTCCCTCCCTCCCCTTCCCAAATCCCCTGCCCCCCCCCCCTGCACTGTATGCGTTCAGAGCAAGCTCAAGCAGCAGCCGCACCGGAGTGCTCCCTCCGCTGCTTCTCAGCCTCTTGATCTTGCTCACATGGACCTTTGGGGCCCTAATCCCTCTCCCACTCGCCCCTACTTTCTCTTACTCATACCCAACCACCTTTGCCACCCAATTCAGCCATCTTTCAGCAGTTTTATTATACGACCCCTTTGTGTACACCCAATCCTCTTGTGGGAGTAAGAGAGATGTCAAACCAGCCTGCACAGCCTCCCCTCATGCATCTCGTTGCTTGCCCCACACATCCATGCACCTGCTTCTGCCATGCACCAGTTCTACCATTCCCGCAGCTGTATTCTCCAACTCTCTGCAGCATGCAAGTTGAGCCGTTCACAACCACCATTCCATGCCTCCCTCCCCCGCAACATGCCTCCCCTCATTCTTCCCACCCCTTGCCCAAAATCCCTCCTTAGTCTCCCTCAAACATTCACATTCAACTGTTCCCTCACCTTATCTCCGTTTCCATCATCACTCCCTGCCACCTTACCTGCCTATCCGTTTGCGTACATCACCGCTATAAATCCAACCCCCTTGTGGCTGCCAGAAAGCTGTCAGCTTGGTCAGGCCGGTCAGATGCTGCAGCCCAGCATCCGCAATGTTACCTAGAGCAAGCTGCTCAAGCGCTGTCAGCCTCCCCACATGCACCATGCCAGCATTTGTCACATCCTTGCATCCAGCAAGCCATAGTAATGCGAGAGAGCAAAGGCCTGTCATGTGTGGTAGACCACCATCCATCACCTTGGTCACTTGCAGGTAGAGATTTCTAATACTGGTCAAGGACCCTATCTTTTATCCTTTGCCATTCTTTATAGACTGTTAATTCCTCCATGGCACGAGGCGAATTCAACTCCTGCACCTCCCTCCTCCCATCTTCCCTCTCCTCTGCCAGATTTGCTCACATTTCATCCACTCCCTTTCTAGCCTCCTCGCTCAGTTCCCCCCTGGCTGCTGAAAACTCCCTCCTTGTCTCTTTCACCTGCAAGCCAAGTGCTCTCATCCTCGTCTCCGTCGCCATCAGGGAATTTCCGTGCTTCCTATACGTGTCAGCGCATGCAAACACACAGATGGCAGCACATGCAGACACACAGATGGCAGCACATGGGAACACACACATGGCAGCACATGGGAACACACACATGGCAGCACATGGGAACACACACATGGCAGCACATGGGAACACACACATGGCAGCACATGGGAACACACACATGGCAGCACATGGGAACACACACATGGCAGCACATGGGAACACAACACAGCATATATGGAATGAGAAGACTGGAGGATAGGGAGAAAAAATGTGAGTGAAACACTAGGAGGATGAGGAAGTCAAGAGAGGAATAAACGGGTCAAAATGAGCAAAGAGCCCTCAGCTTTAGGCAGCAGGAATATCCAATGACGTGAAGGCATACCGCATTAGACCTTTGCAACAACGCAGACATGGAAGGTTTAGTAAATATACGGGCATACACGATGGCAGTGGCGAGGAGGGCGACCAGCAGCCCTGGAAGCAGCATGGCCACTGCAGTCATCCGAGCCATGGCTGATGGGGCAAGCCCAATGCAAGGCGTGCGCCTGCACAGCACGGTGAGGTGCAGCAGGAGTAGAGGAGGGATGCAGCGAGGAGGAGTAGAGGATGGATGGGGGCAATGGCAGGAAAGACAGACTCTGTACTGAGTAAACAGGACGAGACAAATAGAGGCATGGCAGGAAGACAGGTAGAGACGCGACTGCTAGTAGCATGTATAATCACACACAGGAAGAACAAGCTTATAATTAGACCATAAGGCAGGTGGGGCATGGGACAAACGACCGCATTGGGAGGGGGGGAATGAATAGAAAACGAGCATTGGACTGGTTGCGAGTAAAGTAGGATCACATGAATGAACTCATTCACCTCATTCTCCACAACGCACCTGATCTCCAAAACCAACCCTTAGTCCACAACTTTATGATTAGCCTGAGGCGGGCAGGTTCACCACTAGGCCACAGGCTAATCATAAAGTATAACAACTTTGATCACATAGTGTGAATGAGGAAAACTGCTTGGTGGTAGTCAGGGACAGTCACAATCTAGGGCATTCACAAGCTAGGGCATTCAAACGCCAGGGCATTCACAAGTTATGGCAGTCTCAAACAAGGTCACATGCAAGCCTGTCAGTTACTGGCTAGCTTAGTCACATCCTAGGTCGCTCAGCTCACAGCCTACCAAACTACCTAGCTCAGACCAAAACACCTCTTCTGCGGGTGTGTCTGAGCGCGACGCTGCGGGCGTGGATACGCCTGCACTTGCGCCTTCAGCAACTGCTGGTGCTGCAGCTGCAGATTCTGCTGGTGCCGATGTTGCTGCCGCTGCTGCTGCGCCCGCCCCCCCTGCTGCTGCTACTGCTGGTGCTGCTACTTCCACTGCTGCTGCCTCTGGTGCTACTATTGATGCTATGAATACTACTGCTGTTGCTCTTGCTGCTCTTACTGCTTCTGCAAATGTTGTTAATGCCTCTCGTGCTGCAACCCCTCCCGGAGCACGGCCACGTGCGGCTGCTGCCGTTGCGGGTGCTGATGTCCCGCTGGATGCAGTTGCGTGGTTGGTAGCCGCAGGTGCCGACTCCATCACCGCAGAATTCCCCCCTTTCCAGCCTGCGACCGTGCCCAAACGACCGTTCTGCTCTTTCTGATTTTTTGCTACCGTAAGCTCTGTGAACACGGAATGGCGACAATGAGGAGGCATGGGTGCTTTGATGAGGACAACTTACTTAAAGTAACAAATTGTGTCACGACGCACATGAGAGAAACATACGAGGGAGCACAAAGGACCCAGGAGAAAGGAGGGAAACGATGATTGTGGGGAGTGCCGCTTGGCATGCTGAACTAATTGGAATGACAGGAAGGGCCTTACCCGAGTCATGTTTGTAGGGTTTTGCAGAATGAAACGCCCTGCTGGTAGGAGAGATTATGCAGCGCAAAAACTTGAATCGGAGCTCAGCAACGAGGCAGACAGACACGCCAAACGATCTGAAACCACTCGAGAAAAAAGAGATGGCATTGAAAACTGATCGAAGGAAGGGAAGAGCCCAAACGAGCGAGGGGTGCTAGGTGGATGATGGTGGTGGTGATGAGGGGGGACAAGGCTCGTTTTGGCTTGCAACAGCAGCACTCGACTATTTTCTTCACAACCTAAATGAGAAATTAAATAGTTTAGCTCGTTGTGCTCTGGTTCAAAGGTGGTCATGCTTGCTGGGTATCAATCAAGTCCTCACTCCATTCAACGAAGAGAATAAGGAGAAGGCGAACACGCATCAGTGCGATAACTAGTGCTGCACATATATTATTACCTGGTCAAACATATAATTTCTGAACCACGAACACTTTGAGCGAGTGGGTAACCGGTGAGCTGCTTTGGAAAGTTGCCTTGAAAACGAAGGGGTTGTTCTCGTACCTTACTGGCTCAGCCCGCTTTTTCCTTACTGTGGAGGAATGCCCAGAGTGGATGGCACTGTCAGGCACATCAAAATGAGGTGAAGCAGGAGGGAACTGCGTTCAAATCAGGCGATTCGCTTGTCCAGTAACCGAATATTGGCTTCTACTCGATCTAAATCTCGGAGCAGAACCTATTTGAGAGTAAAACTTCCTCGGAACTAGCCCATTGCATGACTTCTCAAGAAACTCTTGATTTGGAATAACTTGCTTGGTTAGACAGGGTGGTTTTCAGGTGGAAGAGGATGTGTGAGTTTCCAGGTGGGGTGGGCGGGGGACCAGATTGGATATTCCGATAGTGCAGGGTAGTAAAGGCGACGCGAGTGTTGCTTGCCTCATCCCAGGCAAGAAAATCTTTCCCCACAAGATTGAAAAGTACTGAATTCGGCAAGTGATACCCCTCTCCGCCCCACACCTCGATAGTGGAACAAGGCACACCAGAACGACGCAAAAATTACCAGTTTGCTCGTGACTAGGTCCGACCTGGTGGAACCAGAAAATTGCAGTGCGAGCTTTTACTACGAGAGGCGTTGGGAAATGCAAGCCAGCACATCACTAGCAGTTTCCATGATTGAAGAAACTGTCACGTGGATGTTGGTGGGACAAGGATGTGTGGGTTTGAAGCTGCTAGCAATGTCAGGTCACACGTCACCATGACTTCGCTGTCCGTCACGCAATCAGCAATGTCTGGCAATGCCTTTTGGTATTGCGTAAGAATTTTGCTTTTCCTTTATGCGCTCGGCTCTGAGAACGTGGAATGGTGGCGAGGATAGGAACGAGGATGAGAGAGAGAAAGGGAGCATGAAAGGGACTCAAAAGCATCGTCGAAAGGAAGGGAAATAAGGGAACAGCAGTGCACTACATCGGCTCGGGTCGGGACGGGTGCTTTAGAAGGCTCCAGGAAAGCAAGAGGCCATAAACTTTTTACAGAAAAGACGCAAAAACAGTATATGCTCGAATGGAGACTCCGTCACTATCCAGCAACCGACGCGATGCATGGCGGCCGTGTTACCTGTTGCTTTGAGCTTATCAATGTACACCAATTTCTTGTCAGATCGTGGATTTCTTAAGACCATTGGATTCCTTACTTCGAGGAGATTAAGAAGAACTGTTTTTGGTCTTCATAATGGGAACCCTGGCTCAACTTATCTACTTTCAGTGTTTCTAAATTCCATGAACAAAACTCGAGATTGGAAGCTACCAAGGCCAAAAAACGATAAGGAGATACATTCTATGGATAAGCCACTATCAAGGAGTTTCTCGAGGCAACACCAAGGCATTACATCATCCAAGTGCTACATTACCAAGGGTCCTAGGAAAGCAGTTCCAGTTCAAGCTGTGTCATCACATAAAGAAAGCAGTCGTGAGTAATGTGTTCAGATCAGTCTTGTCTTCATCAGCTGAAGATCAGTTTTTTTCGAGATCATCATTGCACAATGGGGGGAACTAGTATGGTGACCAGGAACTCCAACAAGCATGGTCAGACTACAGAGATTGTGACGGCTCCTCCTACTGGTGCTACATTGCCGAAGGCTCCCCCAACGCTGACCCCGGGTCCTGCTGCAAATAAGAAGCCATCGCAGTTCGATGTCATTATTCAGAAGCTGCTTGCTCCACGTTTGTCTGCGGTAATGACTAATGGGAACAAGGACAATGCGGAAGGGGAAAACACTATTCTGAGTCAAGGAGGGAAGGAGGAGGTGTTTGATGCAAAGAGCATTCTCGGTGAGTCAGACAATGAGGATGGCGAGGAGGAGTACCTGAGTGACGACCCGGACGAAGGAGCTGACCCGGCTATGTTAAGTTTGATTGCTGCTAAGTTGAGATTCATACATGGCTTCTACTGCCTCGCTCTTTCCTTCATGCCTCCCTCCTGCCCATCTCCCTCGACTCACTGCTGACCGACTTCACCACCACCACTGCTGTTGCAGCTGCAGCCGGCGGCTCCGCCATGGTGCCCAGCAGTGTGCGGCCGTGAGGGGCCATGCTGCTGCCATGCTCACCAGTGGTAGAGATGAGCTGGGCCCCTCACGGTTAGTACGGGACAGGTGCTGTTGGTTGGGGAAGTTGAAGGTAGTGGGTGGGAGCCGGGGAGAGGGCGACGAGGGCCAGGGCATAGAGCAAGGAATGGGGAGTGGAAGATAGCTGATGGCACTCCACTTGGAAAGCGGTGCTCATATTCATATTTCACCAACGAATACCGAAAGCACCATGCTGGGCGCGTTTGAACCAAGGCACAAAAGGAGAAAGGTTTGACTAGCGACACTGGATGAAAAACCAGAGACAGGGTGAGAAAATGACTTGGATTCCATACTCGGCTTCTTTCACCAGCACGTTTGCATGCCGCCTGCCGTCAGCCGAAAAGCTGTTTGCAATTGGTGTAACGACTCAGTGATGCGTCGAATCGTAGCAGGGAGCACGGGAACATGGGAGCTTGGGTGCATGGGAGCATGGGATGATGGGAGCATGGGTGCATGGGTGCATGGGATGATGGGAGCATGGGTGCATTGGAGTATGGGAAGATGGGAGCATGGGGGCATGGGAGCATGGGAGCATGGGAGCATGGGAGCATAGGAGCATGGGTGCATGAGAGTATGGCGTCATGGGGATGGTGTCGTGGGGGCACGGGGGCATGGGAGCATGGGAGCATGGGAGGATGGGAGCATGGGAGGATGGGAGCATGGGAGTATGGGAGCATAGGAGCATGGGTGCATGAGAGTATGGCGTCATGGGGATGGTGTCGTGGGGGCACGGGGGCATGGGAGCATGGGAGCATGGGAGTATGGAGGATCATGGGTTTGAGGAGGGAGAATGGCAGTGGACAATATGGGTGGGCGATGCAGTTAGCTTTGCCATTTACTCATGCAGATCCAGTGCCAGGTCCTTCCGTCTGGCTCACTCCTGCCCTCCATCCCAGGCATCATGCCCTGCCTCCTAGGCAACACATAATACCCTTGAGAACCCTTGTTCAGCTCCCTTCATGAGATGAGACCACATATAGACGAACCAGAGAAGCTACCACTATTCGAGAGACGATAGAATCAATCATGGCTAATGCATTACAAATTTCACCCTAGACTATACAAGCAGGCCTGCCCTTACGTGTAACTGTCCTATCTTGCCTGAGGGGCCCTCCAAAATGCTAGTAGAACGTTAGGCACAGGTCGATCCAGCAGCATGCCACCCAGCCCAACCAACACAAAGCCAGCAACATAATGAGTTGCACGAAGGAGTAGCGATCAGGTTCACTCTGCCGTATAAGCAAACTAGCGCCAAAACACAATACCGGCGACAAATAAGCGAAGGCACAAACTAAGGCAGGCGTGGTCAATCAGTAGCAATGGATGGAAGAAGAGGGATAGGATGAGAAATGTATTCAAATCTATCCGCCTACTCCGCTTCTCTCACCTCCGCATTGACACGTCGCCCTGCGTGGCGTCAGTTAAAAAATATCCGCCACAATCTCATATCCAAAGACTCAGATGCCTCAAACTGCCCTCCCTCCCATCCCATGTGTAAGCCTCCCACGCCTCCATCCCTCCTGCCGGCCTCCTCCACTCCACTCCCCGCTGACCGGCTTTTGCCGCCACCACTGCTGCTACTGCTGCTGCTGCTGCCCATGGCTCTGCCATGCTACTCGGCTGTGTGTCACGCCGATGCGCTGGCTATTCATGACTAGTCCAGCCAGGGTGAGGTGCGGCTGGTGCAGGAAGGGGAAGGGAGTGCGGTGGAGAGAGGGAAGAAGGTCGGGGCATACTGCTGAGCAAGGAAAAGGGAGTGGAACATAGCTGATGATGGCATTGTACAGTGAAAGCATTCACACTGCCGCAACAGCAAGGTAGCGCCAGAATCCCCAACTGACCAGCATATGATGAGCAGTGCGCAGCAAATGACCATTCACACCAAGTCACTATCTACGACTTCTGCTGCCTAAATCTTCCCTCTAACGCTGCCCTGCTCTCCCGCCTGCATAAGTTAGGGGGGGCATAATTCATAGCGAGAAGGAAGGGGGTAAGCATCAGGTGATGGAAATGCGTAGCGAATGGATGCTGAATGGGAGGTGGACAATGGTATGAAGGAAAATTGGTCCATTGGTCCACTGCATTCAAGCAACTATCTTGATTCTAGCTTCAGGTGTGGCAGTAATCAGTACTTACCTAGAAATTTGTCACTCCCAAGAAATAATCATCAAGAATGGAAAGGTCTGCGGATGAATTTCATTGGAGGGGTTGCTGCAATTTATAAGCCATGTAATGCATGATTTAACATTGTCCAGCATAATCCCTTTCTGCATTGAGAGCTAGCAAGTAGATAACATCTACAGTACAGGGTCAAGGAAAGACCCCCACAGCCACTTCAGGAAACCAGGTCTTCACAAGAGCTTGCAAGCCATCAACGTTTGACTTGAATTTCTTCAAGTGGGGCAGGCACTGCAAGCACTTCAATGCAACTTCATGAGATAGTGTGCTTCCCCACAACTGCAAGCTTTCCAAACTCTTCAGCTGCGCGATGTGCTCCATGCCTGCACCGGTAATCCCAACTCCCAGAGAGAGAACCTTCAGGCTGGTCAGGGAGGTCAAGTGGTGCAGCCCATCATCCTTCACTCCAGTCCCATCGACCCACAGCCGTTCAAGGCTTGTCAGCCTCCCCACATGCTCCATGCCAGCAGATGTGACACCCTTGCAACCATTGATTGAGAAGACCTTGAGTGAGGAAAGACCTGTGAGATGCAGCAGGCCAGCATCAGTCACATTGGTTCTGTTGAGACAGAGCCAATTGAGGCTTCTCACTCCCCCAATGCCTCCCAAGGCAACATCTGAGATGGACGTGTCTCTTAGATCTATCGTTGTCAGCTCTGGCAGCTTGTAGAGGTGCTTGATTCCTTCAGCACTAAAACCTGAGGACCTGTCCAACCATATTTTCTCCAGGTGGGTCATTGTGGAGACAACGTGAAGGGCCAGATCTGACAGGTTGGAAAGATCTTTCAAATCCGGTATCGTACGTCGCTTTTTCCTCCCACCGAGTGCTGACGACACAGCCTGGAGGAAACCCACCACACCAAGAGAAATATGAGCATAAAGAAGATCAGTGCATGCAGGCATCCATCAAATGAAATGCAACATTGCAGCATCTATGCTGCCAACGCAAAGCACCGAGATGCATCACAGAAAAAAATCACAATCCATATTCAGCAGCTACAAGCAACTTACATCCAACATTTGTGTGCTTCCTAATCGCCTCGCACAAGGGAGACCAGGGCTTCCTGAAAGGCAACATCAAGCTTGAGCACACGATGGTTCTGCTCAGCAACCTCCCCCTTCACTGCAGTCACCTCCCCCTTCACTGCAGTCACCTCCCCCTTCACTGCAGTCACCTCCCCCTTCACTTCAGCCAGTTCCCCCTTCACTGCAGCCAGCTCCCTCTCCCTCTCCTCCACCTGCCCTCTCATCTCCCTCATCTCCGCCACTCGCCTCCTCTCAACCTCCTCCAGCTGCAATGCAGTTGACTGCTTGTGCTCAGCCACCTCCGCATTCACTGTAAATAACTCCGTCTTCACTGCAATCAGCTCCCTCTTCACAGCAATAAACTCCGTCTTCGCTGAAATGAACTCTCTCCTCTTCTCCTCCATCGCAGCAGAGATTGCCCCATTCCTCTGCTCAGCAACAGTCAACATGTGCCGCAGCTCATTCAACTCCTCCTTGTGTGCAGCCAGCTCCTCTCCCACTGCTGCCAGCACCGCCTCTTTCGCCACATCGATCAATGGCCCCATCGCTCTCTCAGCAGCCATGTGCTCCAAAAAAATCCCCTCAAAAGACCCTTGTTCTATGACTGAATCTTGTGTTCAGCCACCTTCTTTACTGCAACCTCGCAAAAATAGACAAGGCCTGGGCAAGGAAGGGCCAGGTGTCTTGAAGAAAACGCAAAAGGGGGAAGAATGCACACAAGACAAGAAGTGGTAGCATGGGCATAAGGAACGAGGCAGACATGTGAATATGAGAGGATTGAAGGAGCATAAGAAGGTGAGAGACTTGATAACAAGATCTGGAGAATGGTCCGGGCACATACTCGGCTCAAGGAATGAGAGTAAATGCTTGTGCATACACACACATGCGTTTGGCATGAAGTCAGATGGCAGCAGCAAACAAGGAAGGCCAGGAGGAGGAGAAGAAGGGACACGCAGAAGGGGCAAGAAATCTATGCGAGGATTATTAACAGGGGACATTGCAAATTATTGAAGCAGAGGACCTGAATGCACAGATGAAGGGGGCGAGCTGCAGGGTGGGTAGGGTGGTAAACGGTGATCTCTAAGGTGTCCACTCTGAATTGAAGTCAGAAGAAATGAGAGCAGGGCAGCACGAAGGTTGTAAGTACACCAGTGGTAAGAAAAAAATAGTGTTTGAGAAGACAAATACAGGCAAAGGGAAGGAGAGGCAGAGAAGACTAGAAAAGCAAATTACATGCTTCTAAGTTCTAACTCTTCCACAACCGATTGTTGCATCCACTGCAACGAACATCAACACTTGCACCACACCTTCACATAATGCAATTAAGTAGGTGAAGTGACGGTCATAAGGAAAAGCTGTAAAACCAGCAATGGAAGCCAGAGGAGGAAAGGAGGATGAGATGCTGCACGAAGGGGTGGAGAAGCCATAACACCAAGGCAAATAGCTCAGCCTGACACGATGAGGCCTGGCAATGATGACATGTAATGTGGCTCTGCAAGAACCAATTCTTACCACAGTCACGCATGTGAGGGAAGCCCAAACCGAGCACACAATGAGACAATCTGAACGTACAGGGCAAGGGAGTACAAAAATGGTAATGAACGTACGTGATATTAAGAGTGAGAAAGTGGCTGCCAGCTCAGCTCGGCTCGAGCTTGGCGAAGCGGCGGTGCATTAACATGATGGCGGAGAAGCGAGACGCGGCAGGAGCAGAGGACAGAGGGTGCAGGGGAGAGAGGGCACACAGGAGGGAGAGTGCAGGGGAGAGAAGGTGCAGCGGCCAAACCTGGGAGGGAAGGAGGCAGGAGGAGGGGATAATCGGCAGCAACAGGGAAAGAACGGCATAACCAGCAGCAGCAGGGGAAGGAGGGGATACGCGAAAGGAGAAGGAAGACAGAAATGTACTGAGTGCAAGGAGGAGAGGAGGCATGGGTCTGGCAAAAAGGTGAGGTGGGCAAAAAGGGCAGCAGGGCTGGCAAAAAGGAGAGGCAGCTGGAAGTGGACACTGATTGATGGAAGGAGCTTTGCACAACACCGAAACAACATGGGAAGGACGCACAGGTGAGAGATGGATATCCTGAAAAAAAACTGCGTACTTTGAGAGGTGAGTGCAGAACGAAGGAATGGAGTGGAGAACGGCAGCTCAAGCAAACGGCGAGCCGAGAGCGCAATCTGACAGCAGGTTGGGGTAGGGGACAAGATGCATGAGACACGGGAGTTCAGTCAAGAGTGGGTGGAAAGGCTGATAAGCTATGATCCTCAACTCTATTATTAAGCTATGATTCCTCGACACACATACAATGTGGATGTGCATGGCCAAGCAAGCAAGGAAAACAACCAAAATCGTCCTCTTGTTATGATCAATCCTTCCTCAGGAGTCAAACTCATTGAGTGCCACGCCAAGTGGAGGAGGAACAAGAAAAGGGCGAAATGGGTGACAGGAACAGCAACATTACGTTGGAAAAGGGCAGATGTGAAGAGGCTTCACTAAGTACAGGCAAGCTGAACTGAGAAGGTGAGAGTCAAAAATAGAAGACAGGCAAGGCACCGAGTAAGTTGCAAGGAAGTACGGCTGGACTTAGGCAAGGGGTGAAGGGGGATGAGCAAGACACATGCGAAGTTGAGGCAGTAAACGGATTCGGGGGGAACGGATCCAGGAAAAACGGATCCAGGGGAAACGAATTCAGGAAACGGACGGATCCAGAGGAAACGGATCCAAACGGATCTAGAAAATAACTGATCTAGGGGGACGGATCCAGGGGGAACGGATCCAGGGGGGCGGATCCAGGGGGAACGGATCCAGGGGGAACGGATCCAGGGGGAACGGAAACGGATCCAGGGGGAACGGATCCAATGGGAACGGACCCAGGGGAAAAGGCAGGAAATGGTGCAGTGGACAAGCACTCATAGTAGACTTGTGTGTGGCGGTGGTGCAACGAGCTGCCAATCTGCGAAACAAGGCGCTCCTTAGCCAAGAGAGTGGCAGCGGCGAAGAGCAGGGCGAAAGAGGAGAGAAGGTGAGGAGGAATGATGCCGCAGTAAGTGGAAGGGAACTCAGAGTGGGATGATTCGGAATTCAAAGGTAGGGAAAACATGTCAGAGCGAACTCGGGAGTGGATAACCAGAGGTGGGGTTTTGACTCGGGCTCGAGAGCAGGAACAGGAAAGGGGATACAAGAGAGGACAAGAGGGAAGCATCACGTTACATCATGCATGCTACGGGCTGCGTTCGCCTCGCAATCCCATCCGTCCATTCATCTCACCGTTTCCCTCACCTCTCCATCCCAGCCCTTGGCCCGTCCCCGCTGTGAGGCATCGCTGTTCCACAACCCATCATCTCCTTGGGATGAGCAGCGCACAGCACCACATGACAGGCTGCAAGTCAACCCCATCGCCGCAGCTACGTGAGCAAACGCATACATCAAGGCGTTGGGTCGATCGCGAACGCACGGTCTCAAGGCGTTGGAACATTTGGATTCGCTGCTCTAGGCCGCCTTCAGTTTGATACAAAATGCCTTCGCATGCATGCCAAGTATTGCACTGGAAACTGAACTAATATCGAATTCTTGGATCTGAACGCGGGCCATCTCGTTATACCACCGAGGCGCGTTTTGAGTAGATGGGCGACCATAATCGAATGTGGACGCTATCAAAACACTGACACGTGGCGGCAGTGATGGTCATCGAGTGTGGACCGTGTCACCCGAGCTCGCTGGTGCAGATCTAGCTGAACATCTCCAGCTGTTGATGAAGAGAACGTAAGCGCAGCGAATAGCGGGGATGATAGTGTGGGAAAATCGACGTGAAGGTATTGTGATGTCTAGCAGGGGTGTTTCGAATCTAGTTTCGTCAAATTTCAATGCTTGCACACTTCAAGCTGTTACCTTCCCGCTGTTCGCAAACACAATTTTGCTTGCGAATCAAGCACTGCTCTGAACTTCGAGTGGTGATTGAATCTACAAGTCATTGTGTCATTCTCAGTTCAGCAAAGATTGTGCTTTGAGCGAGGTAACAACGCTATCGCCAGTTCTCCTCCCTCGCCCGTTACGAATTCGCAAAGGTATTCGCACCTTGAAGCGTACGTTCGCTTACAAAACTAGATTTGTGTGTACACATATCGTTCCATGGGGCGATTTATGGATCCCACCATTTCCAATTCGAAACGCAGCACGAGTCACGAGCAGAACCCGCGTAGCAGTTTGTAGCAGTCTTAGGACGCGTCAACTCCCACCAAAATCGCAAGATCGTCGGGGGATCGGTGCTGCACACCGATCGTGCCAGGCTCGATCGCCACACCAGTGCTCCCCAATTGAAAAATTGCAATCGTGGGGCTCCATCGAGCCACATGTGACAGGATCGAGATTTTATGGGGCAACATTTCCCTATTTCCAATATTGCACGATCGATCGCCGCCTGGAGGCACATCAATCGCGCAAGCCACAGCTGATAAGATTTTAGTGACCGTTTTACTGTACATTGTCGAAAACTAACGAAACTGGGATATCTTGTGGTTGGCGACGTCGTTAAAGTACTGTACACTCTGCACTCCGATCGCCTGCACGATCGATCGCCGAAATTTGGTGGGAGTTGACGCGTCCTTAGTAGTTCCCCTCCGCTTCCTCGCGCATTATCTGCTCGTTCCAAAGGCTTTTAAAGTTCTCGCGTGAAATTCGCGGCATCTCAGATCGTTTGGCGTATCCGGAACCCGTTGCGCGTAATAGGTCGTCATTGGCTCTACTATCTTCTCGAACGTTTCAATCTGCGAAACCCTAGAAACAGTTCCGAGGTAAGCATGGTTCGGTTATTCCGCTCGCACACCGCCGGCACTACCCTTAACACCATTCTTCGATGCTTTCGAGTCCTTAAGTGCTCCCTACCCTCTGACTCTTTCGTCCTTGCATCCAAACCGCCTCCATGCCACGATCCCAGAGTTAGCGCAAACAGAATATGTCATGCATTAGGGCTACGCCTCCGTGCTCTTGTCTGGGCATTTTGACGCCAATTGCCTAATCAACCACTTACGCATTGCCAAGAAAGCGAGTCTTAATGGCATTGAATGCTTGCCCGGTCCCGCTCATCCCACTACATTCCTCCCCTTCCAGCAATTTCAGTTTTTCCAAGCCTCGCCACCATCACCACGCACTGCTGATCGACTGGCCCCTTGTCGCAGCTGCTGAGTCGCTACGCGAGACTTGGAAAACATGTACAGTTGAAGAGATTCGGAAGAAAAGGTGAGAACTCTAACTCCTCAATCAATGCATCATGGAATGGAACCTCCTTATTGTCTTCCAGTCTTTTCGTTCCACACTGCAAGACTCCCAGCATGCAAGCCATGGTGGTCGTACATGTAATTTTGACAAGCTGAGGGGAAGACGGGCATTGATGCATTGTTGGCCGAGACCATTCCCATCTTGCTGATTGCCTCCGTGGCTCATTCCTCATGCTGTCACTGTTCCGGGCTCTCACTAACCTACTCTCTGGCTGACCTATGACTGACCTACGTCTGACCTAGCCTGTCTGACCTAGCCTGTCTGTCCTAGCCTGTCTAGCCTAGCTTGTCTGACCCAGCATGTCTGACCCAGCCTGTCTGACCCAGCCTGTCTGACATTACCAGTCACTGTTTTAACTAGTGATTGACATAGCTTGTGGCCGACCTAGCTTGTCGCTGGCAGCCTAGACATGTGCACAGAACAGTGGCGAGTCGCGTTGAGTCAGGCTATGCTCGAATCGGGTCAATCTCAAGTCGAGAGTCAAATATCGGCCCCGTGGTTGGAATTCCAGCGATCATTTTTCTCAGTAAAAAATTACTACAGGCTGAAACGGATCCCGTGGCGGTGCTAGTCATCGCAAAAATGTAAAACGGCGAGTGTTTGGGGGGGGGGGGGGGGGGGGGGGGGTCACTTTTACGGACTGAAATTGCATTGTAAACGCCGGTTCAAGTGGGGCATTGGAAGGCGCGGTTTTTTTTGTGGTTTAGTAACCGACAATTGGCGCGAACGAGTTTAGATGGCTGTTTACTGGGCTGCTTGTTTCTCGCGATTTTGTAGATGGTCCGAACGCCCCCGTCGATAAGGGTTTACACGGCACTTAGGGTGAAACTCCTAGGAGTAACCATTTCACTTCGTGTCCACTGTTTGCCCTTCCCGTAAACCAGCGCGTGAGTCCATTTACATGGTGCATTCATTTTTGGCGGGGTGAGATCGCCCTGAACCACGCATACATGGCGAATTTCCAGTACAAGGCGATCATGTTTCTGCCTAGAGGATACATATCTCAACACTTTTTTAACTTGTTTATGTTAACATATGCAGCACAATATACAATATTAAGACACTTGTCTTTTTTTTTTTAAAGCGAGTTTCACTCAGTCTTGAAATATAGCCCTGTTTGATTCACCAATTTATTCTGCACATGTCTTTCATACTTTGTGAAATATAGAACGAGGAATGTTGCATTGAGCATCATGAGGAGTACAAGTAGGAAACCCTTAAGTGTTGTACCCCATATGAACTACCCCACTATAGCCTACACAGAGTATAGCATATAAGTTTGACACACCCCCATAGGCAAAGTGGGGGAGAACAAGAGGTCACAAGACCAGTCAAGAAAGGCAAAGCAAGCTCAGGGTGGATCACGACGTCACCACGCATTCTGAGCACAAGCAAATGGCCACAAGGCCAATTCACATGCAGAGTTATAGAAATGAGAACAAGCAATACAGTGATCACAACCTAGCAAGTGTAAGCATGCAGGTATATATATAGAGATCACAGTACAAGCAGAGTCAAGAAGTAAGCAAGTGAGGCACAGTAGGCACAAGGCCTAGAACAGTACAGAAACACTGATGATCACAAGGCTGAAGTTCCTTGGTGAAGACATCAGCAGTGTTGGCCCAAGTGGCCACGTAAGCAAGACGAAGCTGACCACGCTGCTGCAACTCTCGAGCAAGGAAGTAGCGCAGAGCAATATGCTTCGTTCTGTGCTCCAGTCGGTGCTCCTGACACAAGGCAATCATGGCCTTGTTGTCGACGTACAGCACTGGAGGAGAACGAGGCGGCTCTCCCAGGTCGGTCAGCAGGTAGGTGAGCCAGCGTAACTCCTGTGCAGCCATGGCCCCTGCGTAGATCTCAGCCTCACAACTGGAGCTGAGAACAGAAGACGAGCGGGTAGACCGCCAAGAAACAGAGCCGGAGCCAAGACTGAAGGTGTAACCCTGTGACGACCGTTGCGTAGCCAAGTCGTCAGCCCAGGAAGCGTCTGCGTGACCAGTGAGGACAACTTGAGCCCGTCCTCCAAGCACGAGCCCCATGCCCGATGTACTGCACAAGTAGCGCAACACCCTCTTAGCGGCATCCATGTGCTCCTTCCTGTGTCTCCCAGGAGCGACATAGCGTGCCAGAATGCTAAGAGGGTAGGCAAGGTCAGGTCGAGTGCAGGTCATCAGGTACATGAGGCAGCCCACAAGCTCTGGGTACAGACCACTCGGCTCTACGGACTCGTCCGAAGGT